CAGTTGAAGGCCTTGCCACACTCTTTACAGATGTAGGGCTTCTCTCCGCTGTGGATCCGCTGGTGCCGAATAAGCTGGGAGGAACACTTAAAGGGTTTACCACACTCTTTACATCTGTATGGAATCTCTTCAAAATGAATTTTCATGTGCTGGATCAGATATGAGGAACAATAAAAGGCCTTGCCACACTCTTGGCATTTGTAGGATTTCTCTCCTGTGTGAATTATCTGGTGTCGAGTGAGGGTTGAACTATTATTGAAGGCTTTGCCACATTCTTGACATTTGTAGGGTTTTGCTCCAGTATGAAGTATTTGGTGTCTAGTAAGGTTTGAGTGATATTTGAAAGTTTTGCCACACTCTTTACATATGTAAGGTTCCTCTCCAGTGTGGATCCTCTGGTGCCGAATAAGCTGTGAGGAAAGTCTGAAGGGTTTACCACACTCTTTGCATCTAAAGGGCATCTCTTCAAAATGAATTTTCATGTGCTGGATCAAGAATGAAGAACAATAAAAGGCTTTGCCACACTCTTGGCATTTGTAGGGCTTCTCTCCTGTGTGAATTATCTGGTGTCGACTAAGAGTTGAACTGTTATTGAAGGCTTTGCCACATTCTTGGCATTTGTAGGGCTTCGCTCCAGTGTGAACAATTTGGTGCCGGGTAAGGGTTGACTGATACCTGAAGGCTTTCCCACATTCCTTACATTTGTAGGGTTTCTCTCCAGTGTGAATCACCTGGTGTTGAGTAAGAGATGAGTGTTTACTAAAGGCCTTGCCACATTCTTTACACGTGTATGGTTTCTCTCCTTTATGAATTATCTGATGTTGACTAAGCGTGTGGCTTCTCTTGAAGGCTTTTCCGCATTCCTGACATCTGTAGGGTTTTGCTTCAGTATGAATGACTTCGTGTTGAGTGAGGGTTGAGTTATATTTAAAGGCTCTGCCGCAGTCTTTACATTTGTAGGGTTTCTCTCCAGTGTGAATTATCTCATGCTGAGTCAGGACAGAGAGTGTAGTAAAGGCTCGGCCGCAGCCCTTACATTTGTAGGGTTTCTCTCTCTTATGAGTTATCTGGTGTTGAGTAAGGTTTCTACTTCGCTTGAAGGCTTTGCCACACTCCTTACATTTGTAGGGTCTTGCAGCAGTGTGGATTATGTGGTGTTGGTGGAGGATTGAGCGGTATTTAAAGGCTTTCCCACAGTCTTTACATTTGTAGGGCATACCTCCTTTAAGCACCCCGGGATGCTGCTCAGGAGGTGAGTCGGCAATAAAAGCTTGGCCATGCTCTTCACGCCTGTGTGGCCCCTCTTCACTGTGCACACATGGGTGCATGGTAAGTTCTTCCTGTTGATCAAAATCTTTTACAGAGTTGTTACACTCGCAAAGATTCTCTGGGGAGAAAAGAGGACACAGAATTTCAACCATAGCTAAAGCTAGGAGTTTCACTACTCTAACAACATTTTCTCTCTAATAAATTATTTCCCAGCCTCATTAGTGACCTTCCTATTTTCATTACACATGTTCTGGATTCTCTGTATCTGGATGTGGACGCAGAAAAGGATTGATTGGTGGTTAACTGAGCGTGGAAGCGAGCTCACACCTGCCTGAAAGCTCAGCTTTTAAGAGGGTGAAGCAGAAAGATCATGGTAAGTTCAAGGTGGGCATAGGCTCCATACAAAGGGCCAGGATAGCCTGGGCTGTACATCTGGATTAGTCTCAAAGCAAGCAAACAAACAACAACCCCTGCATTTATAAAATGTATTTTGGTGCACAGAAAATGAATTTGCTACAGTCCTTCAAAAAGATAATCACACTTTAAAATGTATTCTTTGTTCTTAAGCCTCTTTTCTAAAGGAATACTTGGTTCAGCTACATTTCAACTGTTCAAGTTCTTAATTCAATTGTGGAAGAGGTGTTTTTTGTTTTTGTTTATTTTAATTTTGTATATAACATTCTGCCTGCATGTAGGCCTGCAGGCCAGAAGAGGGATCTCATTATAGATAGTTGTGAGCCACGATGTAGTTGCTGGGAACTGAACTCAGGACCTCTGGAAGAGCAGCCAGTGCTCTTAATCTCTGAGCCATCTCTCCAGCCTGGAAGAGGTGCTTTTTAAGAATTAACCAAATTTCATTTAAGAGAAAAATTGTTTCCAAATGTGATGTGGACATTTAATCAAACACACAATTTCTTAACAGTGACTTTCTGAGATGCTGTATGCTCTTGATCTCAGTTGACAAAAGGTTGTTTATTTGTTTGTTGTTGGAAAGAGTTGCCACATATTGCTTTCTGACCTTCATACTCACTGACATTTGTAGACTTCTCTCCTGTATGAACTCTGTGGTGTCAGCTAAGAGTTGAACTATTACTGAAGTTTTTGCCACATTTCTGACATTCATAGGGTTTTTCTCTGGTGTGAACAATTTGGTATCCAGTAAGGGATGTTTGATATATGAAGGCTTTGCTACACTCTATCTTTCTTTACTGCAAATTGTCACAGTCACAATTTCCACATCTCCCTACCATATTTTGGAATAAATGGTTTTTTGTCTTGCTCTTATGAAAAGCCTAGGGTATAATGAGAAGAAACACCTGAGGGAATCAAAATAACACATCAATCACCTCAGTTGCTACACTAAGGTGAATTCTTTCTAAAGCTAACATCAATGGCAAGTGGACATGACCTTTTATTGAATAGCAGAGTAGCAAACAGAAGGAAGAGCCTTTCCATTTCCCAGGAAATGGAGGAATATGAAACTAACAAAAAGATAAACAATAAGATAAACAATAAGCTGCCTTGGTGACAAATTCCCAAGATGGTTAACACATCAATGCACCCCAAGTGATCATAAAACTTTCCATCAGATGGAAAGTCGGTTACTTCTGTCCTCAACCACATTCCTTCTTTTCTGAAAAGAGCACTCAACTATCACCCCAAAACAAAAACAACTGCCAACAGCATTCTACCTTCTTGGGAGAGAAAAAGAGCACATGGATACATCTGTGAAGTGTCTGAAGGCTGTCTGACAGGTAACTTCAGTAGAGCCTGCTCCACAGTGGAGGGGGTGAACAGGTGTACTTTGGATATAGGGTCAGAACAGGAAGATGAAACTGAAAGACCATTACAGTCATTACAGTCTCAATGAGACGACATTACTTCAGATAGTCAACCACAGAAGATAGAATCTTTTTTAAAAGATTTTTCTTTTAACCTATGCACATATGTGTATGTTGAGTGCAGCACCTCCAGAGGCCAGGAGGGGACAATAGAGCACCTGGATTATGGGAAGTTTGTGAACACTCCCCCACCCCGAACCTGAGTGTTGAGAACCAAATTTGGGTCCTCTGCAAAAGCAGGACTAGCTCTCAACCACAGAGACTTGCCTCCAGTCCAAGCCCAGAGAATCCTAAGCACAAACATGAGCAAACATTTCTAACAGGAAAGATAAAAATGAAACGGTACAGAAAACAAAACAAAAATCTACCTGAAGGACTCTAATGAACTCTATACACTCCACTGGTATATTATCTGGATGGTCCTGGCCCATAGAAATAAGACAGTAGGTTTTATATTACTACTGTTTTAACTTGTTATTTGTACACTTAAAGGGTAATACATCCAGGGTTGAAGGGAGCGATGGCTCAAAGGTTTGGGCATGTATAGCTCTTGCAGAGACACCAGGTTCAGTTCCCAACACCCACATAGCAGCCCACAACTGTCTGTAACCCCAGCTCCTGAAAAATCATCTCCATTGAAACAGAGCTTCCCAGGCCACACCTGAAAACGAGGCTTCTGTGTCTTCTGATTCATTCCTACCTACCTGGGTACATGGCTCCTGACTGTTGTCTCTTCACATCCCAAGGCTCTTGTCTCTGCTCCAGCAATGTGACCAGGGAGGGCTTACACACAGTAAGACCTGTTTATTACAAAATAGAGAGTGATGCTCAGTTAAGAGTCACCTAATAACTAATAACATTTCTCTGACCACACTGTGCTGGGAGAAAAGAAGAGATATAAAAGGAGATTTGAAGAAATGGTTGGTCCCAAACAAATACATTAGGATATGTGTGAGGGGTTTTAACTTGGGACGGTGAGCTTCCCTTGCACCCGTGACCAACTCAAAGCAAAAGGGGAGATGGATTTTAAGACAGCCACAATGCTTCGAGCCAGCTAGTTTCTGAAGTCACTACTGATCTAGAGCAGCGGTCCCCAACCTCCCTAATGCTGCAACCGTTTAATACAGTTCCTCATGCTGTGGTGACCCCAGCCATGCAATTACTTCCCTGCCGCTCCACAACTATAATTTTGCTACTGTGCTGAATCTTAATGTAAACATGTGCTCTGCAGAATACCTGGCATGTGGCCCCTGTGGGGTTGTGACTCACATGTTGAGAGCCACTGACCTACAGTGAAGAAGATCTACTTCCTCAAGACAGGAGAGTTCAAAAGAAATACAGTTAAAATGACCTTCTCCAGACCATCAAACCCCTACAGAGTTCCCTTATGCAAAGGAGTGTGAGCAGCTGTCATATGGAACAGAAGCCCCTGAGATACAGTCTACAGAGAGAAATCAGATGTCAAGAGGGAATGAAGAATTCTGTAGATGAGAAGTCCTCACCCAGGGAGACAAGGTTTCTGTAATTCTCCAACATCACATTTCTATATAAATTCCACTGAGCAGGGTCTAGGCATCCCCGCTCCTCTGGAGAGAAATCAACCGACACATCCTTGAATGACAGCAGCTCCTGAAATAAAAGTTGATAGCACAAAGAACTAAACAAAGAGAAAACAAACCACCTAATCAAAACAACAAACAAAAACAAAACCTGAACAGAGAATTCTCCAAAGAAGAAATACAAATAGCCAATAAATACATCTTTGGCCATCAGGAATATGCAAATTTAAAGCACTTTGAGATTCCACCTCACCACAATCAGAATGGGCATAATCAAGAAAACAAACGATAATGAGGCTGTGGGGAAAGGAGAACACCTATTGGTGGGAGTGTAAACTGGTACACCACTATGGGAACTGGTGTGTTTTCTCAAAGAGCTGAAAATAAACCACCACATGTCCCAGCAACAACCCAGAGGGTTCCATCCACTACAGAGATACTTGCTCATCCATGACCATGTCTGCTCTAGTCCTAATGGCTGGGAAATGGAATCAACCTAGATGCCATCAATTGAAGCGTGGACAATGAAAATGTGATGCACACACAACAGAACTGTATGCAGCTGCAAAGAAAGATGTAATTCCCAAGGAGATGGATAGAATTAAAAAAAAAAAAAACACAACAACAACACTGAGTTAGGTAACTGAGGCCTAGAAAAGCAAATGCCATGTGTTCTCTCTACTACGCTATCCTAGCTTTGGATTTTTAGATCGGTACACTTCACTTCGGGTGCTTGTGGAGGAAAGGAAGCTAGACAGGGGCCACTGAACAGGGTGAGGCCTTAATAGAGCAGGGATAGTGCATACAACACTATGAAATGAAAGTAGCAGGAGGACACCAGACAGCATGTTCCGCAGCAGTTTCGGTCCTTTCACATCATTTATTGATCAAGAAAATGTGCCACTCCATAAGGAGTGGTTACTGCTCCTCATGGAGGGTAAACACACTTCTTGCCAAGCTTGACAATTTGACTTCCAGCCTGGTGAAAGAAGAAAACCAGCTCCAACAAACTGTCCTCTGACTTCCCCAAGCATGCTGTAGTACACACAGCGTATAACCCCAGTCATACACACACCACATATGCACACATACAAAAGCAGACACAAATTAAATGTATTAAAAAATTTAAACTTTGGGACCAGAAAAAGGATTCTAAAGTTATATAGAAAAGCAAAAGAAACAGAAGAGTCAACACAATACTAGAAAATAAGTTCACCAGATGGATGCTAGCTTACTTTAGTAGATTCAACTGAAAGTTCTTTTAGTTCTGAGGTCTCTGGATCAAGAAAGGTCTCCAGAGAAGTGACAAGGAGTTTGAGATGGTAGTATTAAAGGATAAGTACATACACCCTAAAGTTGTCTCTGTCAAGAGCTGTGAATTGAGACAGGTGTGGGAGAGAACACTGCCCACTCATTTTCAATATTCTTTCTTGAGAGATGTTCACATAGCCCAGAACCACCCCAGAGAAACTTGGGGAAGGCCCAGGAGATGCTAGTAGAAATCATTTGCATTACATCTTAATAGCTTTGAAAGCCAGCCCTTCTTCGTTCTACCCACAGTGACCGGCTGTAGCCTCACAGCTATCTGATGCACACCTTTGGTGTTTAAACTCACCTGAAGATGAGGCCAAAGCGTAACAGAGCTGACTCATTACACCCAATGAGAGCACCTTTACCCTGGGAAAGCGGGCCCAAAGAGAATCCATTAAAGGACATGTTTGGTACATAGATGTCACCGTACGTCCTTGTTATAGAACCATTTACTCCTCAGTGAGTGATGCTGGCAATCATCAACAGAGTGCACTAAATGTAAGTCCCTACTTCACACCAAGTGCACAGGAACTACAGAGCTACACGACACCTTGTAGAGTTTACAGTTCAGAGCCTTGAGAACAGAAACTTAAGAGAGGGAGATGGCTCAGTGGGTAACTGCTTGCTGCACAGCCCTCGTGGAGAATGCCAGGTAAGACTAGAAGCCTCTTTGGAATCCTATCTTTCAGGAGATTGACAGGGAATGGCTGGGGTGACATGGCTGGCTCGACAGGTCATCATACTCTGGGTTCAAGAGAGCCTCTGTCTTAACATGTAAGATGGAAAACAATTGAGGAAGACACCTGACCCCAGCACTTGGCCTCTACACACATGCACACCTATTCCGGAACACAAATGTGCACCCACATATGTGAATATGCGTGCACACAAAAAAATAAATAAAAGTCAAAGAAAGAAATGGAGACTTCTGAGCACATCTATTTCAAAACTTAAAACACAAATAAAAATTCTAAAGCAATGGGAAATAATCATATTGAAAATAGGTAACTTCACTAACAATTTATAACTATTTATAAGATAAAACAGAGGCAAGGTTACCAGAATGGAAAGGTGTCAGAAGTCATTCCTGTACCACCATGCCACATTCTATGAGGGCTATTTTGGTGGTGTTGTTTGGTTTAGGTTTTGTTTGTTTGTCTTTTTAAACAGGGTTTCTCTGTGAAGCCCTGGCTGTCCTGAAACTCACTCTGTAGACCAGGCTGTTCTCGAATTCATAGAGCTCTCCCTACCTCTGCCTACCGAGTACAGGATTAAAGGTGTGCACCACCACCACCTGGATCACATTCTGAAAAGATACTCAAATTCTATCTGAAGATGAGAAGCACAACACAGCCTATGACATGTGCCTGTTATCCTAGCACTCAAGAGGGTCAAATAAGAGAACCCTAACTAACCCTAACCCTGACCCTATCCCTAACCCTAAAGAGGAATGTGACATCGGGGCCAGCCTGTGCTATGCAGCACATTCTCAAACAGGCAGGGCAGAATAATAAAACCCTACCTCAACACATCAATAATGAATAAAACATGAGTTAAGTCTGCATGTCAATTTGTTTCCACTTCACAGAATAACCTTGGGTCTAGGGATGTAGCACCCGCCTCATAAGCATGATGCTCAAGGTTCAACCCCCATTACTACCAAAAAAAGAAAAAAAAAGAGTCTGAACTTTACAAGATGACAGTTTAAGAAGCAATAGGCAATCACCACCATCACAGTGTCTTCACATGTGCAGATTTGCCCAGGACAAAATGATAGAAGGTATTGTGGGAAGACACCTGAGCTCAGCGCACATTTTTCTTGTCATTCTTCTGTAACAGTGTAGAAAAACTAATAGTATTTCTCTTAAAGAAAGTGTTGTGAGAAATCTAAAATGAAGTATACTAAAGGATGTCTGTAAGAGGATTTGCATAAACCACTGGAGTATCTGCAATCTGCATACTGTGGGAACCAAGGGACGACATGAGTCTCTACCCTTTCTACCTCAACTATAATTTCGTAACCAATGCAAACCATATTAGTAGCAGTGATCCTCAGCCTTCCTAACACTATGACCCTTTAACACAGTTCCTCATGTTGTGGTGACCCCCAACCATACAATTATTTTCTTTGCTACTTCATAACTGTAATTTTGTACTGTTCTAAATCATAATATAAATAGTTTTGGAGACAGAGGTTTGCCAAACGGGTCGCCAAGACAAGTTGAGAACCTCTGGTTTAGTGGCTTTCCTGATTCCAAATTGTCCATGAGACGTTGTTTTTGGAAAATCAGCCTATTAGTATAATGTTCTTTTAAAATGTACACACCTTACCCTTGTTCACTCAAATGCTAATTTCTTACCCACCCACCCCCAACTCTCTGGTTTCAATCCAGATATTGCAGTGTGATACTCATTCTAAGCATCCTGTCTCAACTCTTGTGTAAACAGGCCAAAATAAAGCAACTAGACACAATGTTGAGCTGGGAGGAGCCAGAGGACAGGAAAGAGGGGAGGAGCTAGAGGGCAGGAAATGAGTGGGAGGAGAAGGGGCGAGGGAGAGCTAGGAGAACAGAGCTGGAGGAGAGATCTTGGAACTATGTGGAGATGGACTGGACCTAAGATATCACTAAAAGCAAGTGTAATGTGGGAAATCTAAATGTTAGGAAACTATGAGGGTTTGGAGATTTAGGATGGAGTAACTATTGCCCAGCACTGTGTTCTAGGTTAACTAAATAAACCCAGTCTCTGCGTGGTGATTTGGTTATACAGCTGTTTAGGATTGGTAACAGCAGCTTTACCAGAAGATACATCAATAGTAAATATTAATCACCGACTACAACATCAGCCAGAACACTTGAAACACAGGAAAGACTAAGGACAAATTGTCAGTTAAAGGGACCTTAACATACTGTATTAGCTAGGGTTCCCTAGAAAAACAGAATCAATAGAATGAATAAATATTAAAAAGAGAATTTACAGGGGAGTCCAGGAGCAGGAGTACAGGAGTCCCAAAACATGACAGGCTACAGCCATTGCTCTTGGGGCTGAACACACCATGTATTTCAGACACAGGACCCAAAGGAACTCATGTCTGGTACTGGCAACCTAGCAAACTACCCACAGCTAGTGAGACCATACATCTTAGAGGAGAACCTACAACTGTCATTTTACTAGGCCAGTGTAGTTTCCAGCTGTGTTCTAAGTATTCATCTCTATACTGACAGATAAATGTAGCTCTCAACCTTCCTCAAAGAAAATTCTCTTTGCAACAGATGGAGACCATTACAGAAAAGCACCAACTGATCAAAATGCAGAAAACAATGACTGTTTCTGCCACAATTGATACACTGACCACACAAGTTCTACACCAGAAGCCAGGGAACATCACAGGGGTGGTAGTGTAGGGGCCAGAGGAGCCAGATGTCTCTCAGAAATGTCAGGGAAGCTACACCCAGGAAGCTTCAATAAAACAATTTCCAAACAAGACCAAACAAGATCCACATTAAGAGTCAGGCTAAGAACTATAGGCTGGCAAGGATTGCTGAGACCTGGAGAAACAGTCTTCCCTCAGGAAGAGGCCTCCAACTGATTATTCAGTACCAAGTGGTCAGCCCTGAAATCATGTACATACAAGTAGCATAATACCGACTTTGGTTGCCTGTGTGCGAGTATGCATGCATGCGTGTGTGCGTAACAAAGAAAAAGCTATGATTTTGAGAAAGGAAAGGTATACAAGAGTGCTTGAAGGGGAAATTATGTAATTATATTAATTGTAAATATTAATTGCAAAAAACAAGAACAAAAAAAAATTACCAGGCAAGGTGGAGCATGACTTTAATCTCAGCACTAAGGAAGTTATCTATGAGTTCCAGGCTAGCTTGATCCAATTAGAGTTCCAGGATAGCCAAGTTACACTACACAGAGACTCTTTCTCTCTCCATATGTGTGTTAAAATAAAAATAAATAAATATATACATTTAAAAATAGAGAATTTGTACAGTGTATTAGTTACTACTGTTGTGTTAAAACACCATGTCCAAAAGCACTTTGGGGAGGAAAGAGTTTATTTTGCTTACAGTTCCACATCACTGTTCATCATCAAAGGAAGTCAGGGCAAGAACTCAAACAAGGCAGGAACCTAAAGGTAGGAGCTGATGCAAGGGCAATGGAGGGGTGCTTGCTTCTTGTAGTTTGCTCAGCCAGCTTTCTTACAGCATCTAGGACCCACCAGTCCAGAGAGGGCACCCCCAACAATGGCCTGGTCCTTCCATATCAATCAGTAATTGAGAAGATGCCACACAGGCCTGCCTGCAGCTGGTTCTTAAGGAGGCATTTACTCAGCAGAGGCTCCCCCTTCTCAGATGACTTCAGCTTGTGTCAAGTTGACATAAAACTAGCTAGAACATACAATACAACCTGGGTTAGACAATGGTTGTCTTCTCACCAGAGAGACTGAGAACCCTGCAGTTGCTCAGTTCACAAGGACGGATAACTCTGTAGTCCTAATCTCATGCTGAAGGCATAGACGATTCCTGGAGATCACCACTAAATTTCAGTCCATGTTGGGAACCCAAAGAAATAGGGTTCTTATATCAGAAAAGGAATGTAGATGCAATGGTAACAGCGGCAAAAGAAGCAACAGCATAGATGAATTTAGCTTTCCTCTAGGACTTCCTTTTAACTGAGTTGCCAATAGAAGGTACCATCCGCATTTAGAAAGAGTGTGATCACCTCAAATAATAACCAAGAAAATCCCTCACAACTGTGCCCAGTAGCTCATGTCTTAATTGATTCCAGGTCCAAAGTGACAACCAAGGTTAACCATCACACATACAGACAATTTTCACTTTGTGACAGCTGACATTTTCTGGATATCTGTAACATGAGAAGTTAAATTAACAGAAAAGGGGAAAAAATGGTAGTGTAAAATACATTTCTCTTTAGTGCCATTAAGCTTAGGATAAAAGACCTGCCACAGAAAGGGTACTCAAAAGGGAACTCAAAGTAATACAATCTCAGCTTCACACTGCACACAGAAGACTGATTTGTTTGTTGAAATATGTTCCTGAGATGTAAGCTAGGTGGCCTGGTACTTCCTGTGCAGCCAAGCTGCCCCTTAACTCAATCCCTTATGCAGCATCCCAACTGCTAGAAATACAGGCATGCACAACTACGCACAAATGTGATCAATCACTTCAAAGAACCAGTAAGTCAAGGAAGATAAAATACTACAGGAAATTTCAGATCTTCTAATTTTCTGTTTTTGCTGTTTTTCGCCCTTCCTTTCTTTCTTTGGAACAAACAGAGCATTCTTGAACTTCATGGAGTGTACTCAAGTAGGCACTAGAATGGGTGCTAGCCCCACCCTGAGATGAGATGTTCAACCTATACAAAAGCACATTACGTTTCTGCTGAAGCAAAAGAACACAACAGAGACCTAGTCTACACATGGGCCCAGAGAAGACAGGATACACTTCAGCAAAGAAGAGAATGTTGAAACTCTTAACAAGGGTGCTACATATACAGTGCGTGCCTATTGCCCTGATGTCAGACCTGAAAAAAACAAACCAACAAAACAGAGTGACCCAAATCTTCACCTTTCATTGAAAGGACTATATATGAACTGCCAAGCTTTGGGAACAAAGGAGGTGAAAAACCTCCCTAGACCTCAGGCAGTGAGTAGCTATAAATACAAATATAAGTACATCCATAGGGTAGTCATAAGGTGGACAAGTTAAAAATCACAAGTCCCTGTACAGTCCTAGAAAGTGTTTGTAGGAGTAACATAAGTGTTCTAGGAGCTACATAAAAGCACGAACTCTAATTTATTTGCAACAGCAATTTAACCCAAAACTGAGCACAGCCTCTAGAAGGCCTGTTACCAAAAAGATAACCCAGCTCTCAGGAGGCATTAGCAAAAACAAGGAAACTTCCAAGCCACCATGAGCTACCTAAAGAGATGTCTGTCATTAGAAAAAAAAAAAAAAAGGGGGGGGGGAGGAGTGTTCCAGGGAAGATAAAAACAGGGAAAGGGGAGCTCCCCCTTGGAAACTGGCAAGATGACAGTTGACTATCAGAATTTTTAAAGACTAATGTGAAAGCACTTCAAAAAAATATTAAAACTGACTTACTGTATGACCCAAAAGTCAGAATACAGAGTAAGTATACCAGGGTAAGGACACAGTTATAATATTAGAATGGTCAAGAGATGTAAACAAATGCAGTGTCTTCAAATAAAATGTGCCAAAGATTTCCCCTTCCCTCCCCTTAAAGGCTGCTTGCTCACAGATACACCCTAGGACAGAATCCAGGGACCTTTACAGCTCCTATCTTGAGGCATGGCGGCTGGAACAGCCAGTATCAGCACCTGATGTCAGGAAGTATTGAAATTCAATGAAAAAAAAAAAAAAATGGAGGATGAAACCTTGAAGACACATCACCTCTGAAAGTCAGCCAGGGGGAAAGCTCAACCCAAACATAGCATGTGCCTAGAGAAGGTGAGGGAAGTGTGATGTGAAAAGTTTTTACTAGGAGTCTAACAACTACCCTGTGCTTTCTGCTCCGGCGCAAAGTCCATGAACACAAAACATGTCCTTTCAAACTGCCACCTGATGTGCATGAAGGGGAAAAAATAAAAAGCAGAGTCTGTTTGAAATCTACTCGGGGTCAGTTTAATGTGAAGACAGGAAGCTGGAGTGGGAAATTCTTAGGAATTCACGGTCCTGGCTAGAAGCTGCCCAATGAATTAGTGTGTTCAGGAGAAGGGGGCGCGGGAGCCCCAACTCCGAGGCCCTCTCGGGAAGAACCCGAACACTGGGAGTTGGATGTTCCCAAGATCACGCCATCGGGCCGTCGGGCCTGTGCTCTCGCTGTGAGCCGTCGGGGCTGCCCCAGAAGAAATCGACCCTACACAGCTGCAGCAGCGGCACAGCCCTCGCTACTCGGAGACCAGGGCCCCGACTCACCATGTCCGGATTCCCGTCGCGGGGTGCCCGGGTTCCCGGATCTCCGGTTTCCGCAGTGTCCCGTTCCGGGGTGTCTGGGTTCCCGCGTCTCCAGGTTCCTCAGTGATCCGTTCCGGGAGGTGAGGGTTCCGAGGTGTCTTGGAGTCCTCCCTGTGAGTCCAAGTGATGAGGTCACAGGCTGAGCAGCGACAGCGGGATCCGGAAGTGCAGATAGGAAACAGACTCCACCTTGGCAGCGCCCCCACACAAAACCATCCGAGGCTGAAGCCCGTCTCCCAGGCAGTTCTCAATAGAGAGACCCTAAATGGAGACCGCTTCCGGGCTCCCCGCAGCCTTGATTGACAATGCAAGGCAGAGTAAGGACAGAAATGACAGGTCTTTGCTGCACAGATTGTTTTTTAAAGATTTATTTTACTTTTAAATATTCTTGGCAATCCTGAGAATTTTGTACAATGTATTTTGATCAACGTACACCAATGTAGATTTTGCTGGTATTTGCAAAATGTAATTTCATTTCTGGCCTTGTGATGAGCAACTGGGCATGTCAACATGACTTCCACTTTGTTCTGGAAATAATACTCTGATGTATATAGAATCCTATATTGACATTCTTTTTCTCTGACTTTAAAGATGTAACTTCAGGGTTTAATTGCTGTTGTTGTTTTGTTTGTTTTTCGAGACAGAGTTTCTCTGTGTAGCCCTAATTGTCCCGGAACTCTCTCTGTAGACTAGGCTGGCCTCGATCTCACAGAGATCTGCCTGCCTCTGCCACCCAAGTGCCACCACACCCAGCTTCATTTTATTTTCTTTTTTTAATATTTATTTTTATTTTATGTGCATTGGTGTTTTGCCTGCATGTGTGTCTGTGTGATATCCCCTGGAAATGGAGTTACAGACAGTTGTGAGCTGACATGTGGATGCTGGGAATTGAACTCCGGTCCTCAGGAAGCGAAGCTAGTCCTCTTAACAGCTGAGCCATCTCTCAGCCCCGTTAATTTCTAGTTTTGATTACACCTTTTTGTAACTGAAATCATAGTCTCTTACATATGTTTTTATTTTGCTTGTTTCTTTCTTGATTTTCAGTTCATCTTTGACCATTTCCAGTTTGACTTTGGTGTGTGTCTTAGGGTTACTATTGCTGGTATAAACATCATGACTAAAGCAACTTGGGAAGCAAAGGGTTTATTTTGTTTATGCTTCTACATCACTGTTCATCACTGAGGGAAATCAGGACAGGAACTCAGCCAGGGCAGGAATCTGGAGGCAGGAGCTGATGCAGAGGGCATGGTGGAGTGTTGGTTGCTGGCTTGCTCAGTCTGCTTTTTCATAGAATCCAGGACCACGAACCACAATGGGCTGGACCCTTCCCTATCAATCACTGATTAAGAAAATGCCCCACAGGCTTACCTGTATCCCAGTCTTATGGAGGTATTTTCTTAATTGTGGCTTCCTCTTCTCAGACAGCTCTACATTGTGTCAATTTGAGAAAAATAAAAAGAAGAGACTAGGAAGAGGAGAGAGATGATAGTGGTATTTGGGGCATTTCAAATCCTAAGACAAGCATAAGCTTTCAAGGAGAAAGACAAGCTAACTGGAAATGAAGTCTTCTTAATCAGCTGCGGAAGAAGGCTTGATTTCTAAGAAATTATGTACAGAGAAGTAGAGTCACATAAATAATGGCTTTCAACAAGGTACAGTAGGATAGGATGCCAATAACTTATATACTACAGATCAGTAGACCCGTTTGTACAACCTCCAGAAATTTTGTGGGGTATTCACCAGGAAAAACTACTTGGACATGGGTTTAAGCCAACAGAAAGTCTTTGTTAGTTAGACAGCTATTAACACTGGATGTTCAGATCTCAGTGTAGCCCCAAGCCTTTCTCAGGGTGAGTTTTAAGCAGAAAAACCATTTTCTGGGTTGACACGCTTCAGATGCAAGGACAGTTACCAGAAGTGGAACTACAGAAACCAAAAAGCAAGATTAGTACATTTAGAGACTTTCCCTGAACTGTGAACTTTTATGGATTAGGTCTTTGTTTCCATTTGGCTGGTGGTACTGTCTATGTGCTCAGTTTTAGGGCCTGAATGGAGTCAGCTCTCTTAAGATCTAGGGCCTTGTGAAGTTCTGGGGTCCTGTTACAAAAGGAACATGTCTTACCAGCTTACTTTCCCTGGCTTGCCCAACTACTATTCTTAGGCCAACCTGCACAGGAGGGTTGGCCTATCTTCAGTGAGCTCAGTCTTCCTACATCATCAGCAAGTAAGCCAATCTGATGGAGGCTATTCCTCAATTGAGGCTCCCTCTTCCAAACAGACTCTGGCTTGCATCAAGTCCACAGCTTAAGCTAAGTATGGTACTGTCTTAGTTACTTTTCTATTGCTGTGATAAAACACCATGGCCAAGGCACTGATAGAAGTGAGAGTTTATTTGGGGCATACAGTCATAGAAGGGTAGAAATCCATCTGCATCATAGCAGAGATCATGGAAGCAGGCAGGTAGGCATGGTCCTGGAGCAGCAGCTGACAGCTCACATCTGAGTGCACAAACAAGAAGCAAAGGCACACTGGGAATGGCCCAAGTCTTTTGAAACCCCAAAGCCTGCCACCCTAGTGATGCCTTCCTCAAACAAGGACATATCTCTTATTCTTTCCCAAACAGCCACCAACTAGAGAGCCACATACTCAAAAGCCAGAGACTTGCAGAAGATATTTCACTCAAGCTACCACAGACATGGTGTTTTACCACAGCAATAGAAAAGAAATAGACAGAAGTTGGTACCAGGAGTACAGTATTGTCGTGAAGAAAAAAAAAAAATGTTGGGTTTTTTTGTTTTGTTTTTTGGTTTTTGGTTTTTGGGTTTTTTGTTTTTTTTGTTTTGTTTTTTTTTTTTTTTTTGAGAAATGTGGAGGATTTTGAGACTTTGGACTAGAAAAAGTGGTTGGATGCTGTAAGCAGAACTTAACAGACCATCCAAGTAGGAGATTGGAAGACAGTAGTGAAGAGAGTTGTATAAACTGTGGAGGCTCCGATCAAGAGGTTACACAGGGGAATGATGTTAGTAACCATTAGGTACCATTCTTGTAATATTTTTGCAAAGGATGTGGCTGGATGTCTGCGTTGGTCCTAAGAATTTTTCTGGGAATGAATTTAAAAGTAAGGAACTAATTGATTTGGTGGAGATTTCAAGAGAGTCTAATATTGACTCTGCTGAATAGTTATTAGTGATGAGTCTTATGTGGGTCTATAGTGAAAAAGAGCAAGTGGTACACAAAGAAACACAAAATGTAGTTTGAGGAGAAAAAGAGCATCAGGAAAAGTTTGATGTTGTAGCCAAGCTTGTATTGAAAGAGATAGGGAGTTTAAGGAGAGGCCTGATCAGTGCTGGAATGAGGGAGGGATGTGCTCGGGACAAGACTTCACCCAGGTAAGCTTTCAATGCATGAAAAGACTGAAGAAATTCTGATCCTATGAAGGGAAAACAAATTAAAGCTGCTGCAAATGTGATCAAGTGGGCTAGGTTTCACTCCAAGCTGACAGGAAAACTGTGCAGTGGTATCTCGGTGGTACTGGCTTTTCAGTCATGAAGGATACACCAGTAAGAAGGTCCTGATTTGTTTGTTTGTTTTTTGAAGCAGGGTCTCTCTTTGTATCCTTGGCTGTCCTGAAACTCACTGTGTAGACCAGGCTGGCCTTGAACTCGGAGATATGCCTACCTCTGCCACCTCCAGCCAGCTGAGTCCTGGATTCTTCATCAGTGGTTCTGGAGAGCCACTGAGATCAAGCATGTGACAGGGGAGGTCCTGGAAGCCCTGAGAGGCCATAGTTTGAAGCTGTGAAAGTGAGGCTTGTTTTGCATCTGAGATCCCAAGATGTTAGAGGTGCCAGAGTCTTGGAATATCTGCTAAGAAGAGCTACAGATATGGAGTAGAACAAGCCCAAGAGAGATGTGTGTAGCAGGGAGCAAAGCTGGAAAGGCAGATCCATTTAAGCCCTTTGACATCAGACATGAAGCTACAGGATTTAGAATTTTCCTTGTTGGGTTTCAGTCTTGCTTTGGTCCAAAATTTCCTCACCATGTCATGATTCCTCCCTTTTGGAATGGTAATACATTCTGTACATTGTATGTTAGAAGTATGCTATTTGCTTTCTTTAATTTATGGGGGTTACAGTTAAGAGATTGCCTTGAGGGGCTGGAGAGATGGCTCAGTGATTAAGAGCACTGTCTGCTCTTCCAAAGGACCTCGGTTCAATTCCCAGTACCCACATGGCAGCTCACAACGGTCCGTAACCCCAATTCTAGGGAATCTGACACCTTCACACTAATGCACATAAAATAAAATTAAATAAATTAAAAAAGAGAAATTGTCTTGAATCTCAGAAGAGATTTTGAACTTCTAAATAGCGTTGAGCTTGAAAGACTATGGGGACTTTTGACATGGGACTAAATGTATTTACACTATGATATGGTCAGGAGTCTATAGAGGCTAGAGAGTAGAAGGCCGGTGCTTTGAATGAGCACAGCTCCTACAGGTTTTGAATATTTGGTCTATGGAACTGTTTCCAAAGGATTAGGAGGTGTGGCCTTGATGAAGGAGGTCTTTCACTAGGCATGGACTTTGAAGTTTCAAAAGACTCTTGCCATTCCTAGTGTGCTCTCTTTTTCCCCTTTGTGGTTCAATGTGTGAGCTCTCAGATGCTGCTCTGTCATGTCTGCCTCCTGCTACCTGCTATCCTGCTTCACTATCAAGGACTCTAAGCCTCTGGAACCAGATGCCTTAAAAAAAATACTGTTGTGGAAGTGATATTAGACTCTCAAGGGCTTCTCTGCCCCAGCTAGTTTCCAAATCATTGAGACAGAGACCTTTTAGATTTATAAAACTTATAAGCACTGGGCAGATATCAACCCTCTAAGCTATTTTACTATTTCCCAGCTACATACCCTAAGTTACCTGCCATATTTGTTCCTGCCTGAGCTGCTTCTGTTCCATCAGGCCAGCCCTCATGGCCATGTCCTCATAGTCCACACTGCCCCACGGTGACTTCCTTCTCTCCACTTTCCTCTCCTCCTGCTACATCTGCTTCCTCTCTCCTCCCTGCACATTACTGGGTATATTGAAAGGGAATGAAATGTTGAATAAA